CTCTTGCAATCATCCATGTTCTACGTTTCTTTAAAACCGACTTCAGCAGCCCACCCAAGTTCTAAGTGATAGACATCTGCTGGCAAAGAGAAGCCCTAAAAAGGGTAAGAAATAGTTTTGAATCCCTGTAGAAACGCCCCAGGTGACCAGGTCCACGGTATCTTGAGCTTGGTTACTGTCTTCCCCAAAACGGTCGTGCGTAGAAAAAATATATCAACGAGAAGTAGGAAAGAGAGACTTAGGCAACAAGGAGGCTTTTTGTTAGCATAAACGTAGTGACTGAAACCTCTATTTAGCCCCACAGTGCTCAGCAATCGGAAAAGTAAGTCACACGACGTAATAAGGACGCCATGTCGCATAGGGTTACGTGATTGCTGCCACGTCGATTCAGCAAGAAAGACAGAAGAATTTACATATCAGTTTGTCAGGGGAAAACTAAAATTCTAACTTGAATACTCGCACTCGTTTGAAGAAAATTAAAGAAGTTATTTCCTGTGACTTTTAATCGTGGTCATTCCAAGGCGGTACCATGCTCCACCCCCTTTTTGTCATGTGAGGCAGCTCCTGTCGAATGTTCCCTGTAGATCACAATTGTTCGAAAACGTGTATTCATAGAAGCAGAGGTCTCTGAGCAACCGTGGCACTTCTACAACTAAGACGTGCGAAAGCCTCTCCATGAGTGAGTTTGGAAAAACACGTGATGGTTGTCCATCCCAAAGTACTTGGCCAACAGCAGTAAAAGCGCTTTCCAACAAAATAAAATAAAGGAAGAGATACGAACAATAAAAATGTGATAATACAAGTCCAGAATTATAACAGCAAAAATGGAAATAGCAAAAGAAAGCGAAAGTAAATTTCCTTAGAGACTCACCCGATGATGTCTTCCGATGCAGACAATCATTTTAAACGTTATGCCAAAAACGCCATTTATTTTAACAGTATTTTAAGCTGATACAAACAACTCTAACTTGTAAAGAGCTTTTACAAGAAATAGAAAAAAATGGCAACATCACCGCAAGCTCTAATCTATGAATGCGATAGCATCAAAGTCGAATGTGTTATGACTTGAGTTAAAGCCAGCAGCTAATTTCTTTTGTCATCCCTCCCGACTTCAACTGAATAAGTCACAGGAATAAGTAAAGAGCAGCTGCAGCGAGTGAAACGACCTTCGTGATGTCGACCACTTCATAGCTGACTGAGCAATAAGAACAGCCCAGGTAGCGCATGCAAGGGTATGCGCTATCTGATTATCTTTGTAATGATAAAGCAAGCGTGATCGAAACTGGTGGAACTAAGTGCGGACTCTGACTGAGCCCACCCTACCATGCCTCCTATACCCCTATCATCCCCCTCGCACGTTCTCATAAGCCTTTTTATGAAAGATGGCCGGCAAGTGCTTTCAGCTTCCGCTTCAGCCACAGACGTTACCATCACTCTGATGCTTTAGCTCGCACGTAGAACATTCAGTGAGTGGGATGATGGTACAGAACTCAGACTATATTGGGATGTGCCATAGCTCACAGCAAAAATGTTCCGGGAGGCTCAATAACCACCGTCACAATAAAACTAGTACATGATTCAATGACTAGTTTTTGATTTCTAAATTCTTTTGGGTGTACAGGGGGTATATGAAAAGCGTGGTAGGCCGTAAACAATGACGTTCATGTACAGCATGGTTCACTGTTGAAGGGTACACATAAATATACCCACCACGTACTCCTGGCGCCCCAACACCAAGCAGCTTTGGAAAAAGTGCCTGGGCACCACGAAAGTATTCATTATTGATTGATGAAAATTAATTCATGAATCTTGATGGAATAGTCTATGAAGTATCATTGAAACACTACTTCAGGAACGACTAAAGTGAACCCTGCTTACCTTTCTGACGCATGCGAATGTGGATGCTCTTCTGGCTTGTCCTTGAGAGGAACCCCGGAAGTCGTTGCTTGGTCGGTGCTGCCCAAGGCGCTACCGTGTCCAACTTCCGCCTTGTGATGTGAGGTAGATTCTATGGGGTGTTCCCTGCACGACAGATTTGTTCGAAAGTACCTTTTTATGAAGGCTGAAGCCTCTTTTCCTCTACAGCATTTTATAGAATAAGACATTCAAAGCCTCAGCATCAGCCAAGAACACGTAATAGTTGCCCGTCCCTAGGTTCCCAGAAAAAAAAAAACTTCTAGAGAAATCAGGCCAACAGCGATAGTAGTTTCTTATATCTTGGAAAAAATATAATAATAAACACACCTAGAGCTTAGTCATGAAAATACAGAACAGAAATAAAGCAAATAATCAATTCATAAAACAAATTTAACACTAGCCAGCAATTATACCCACGTCCTCTGGTTCATACAAACAAGTCTAAACGACAAGAAGTGGTTCATAAACGCATATGGAACCCATACGTAATATACAAAAGCGAGCACTTCTAATCATAAGTGAGCACTTCGAAATATAAATAATGCTAGATATGATGAACACAGCGCGCCACTGTTTAATAAAATGCCAATATTGTCACTCGATCACTTACGATGGCAAAAGGCTGCACTTACCGTTCATAACATCATTCATTACAACGCGTTCTTAGCATATGCAAATATTTTCTTATTCCTCCCGCCTCGCCAGACGTTCCCCACTGCACAATTTTTATCTACTAACACTGTTTATGGAAAACCATTATTACAATTAGCAGGTGCCAAGATCTGGATTGATACACCGTGTCAAATAAAAGAGAACTTTTTTCTGTGAGATATTAAAAGTACTTTCTTTAAAAATTACCAGTTTCACTAACACATACTTTTACGGCTATCTGCTTCATGATCATTTGATTTTATATCGCACTGGAAATTTTCACGTAACTCTACGTATTTGATGTAAACTACACAAACTATATGTTGCATGCATATACACACCTTGTTGCGTGGTATTGCCTTTGCTCTATCTCAAGTATAGTTTGCTTTCATGTATTGCTTCATGTATTTTCATCTTGTTACGATTAAAGGGTACTCTTTACATCTGCTCGTTTCAACAACCTTTTTCTGTAAGTGTACATTTCACTTGACCAGTGGCTATGGGTCTAACCAGTGTTGTGTATTTTCATATACTCATAAATTCAGTAAAAAATACATGAAATGAAAAAAAACGTCTTGAAAAACTCATTGTTAGCACTATGGCACAAACGCGTTTCATTACTAGTTCTTTACCGTGGTATCAGCATGATTAACAGATCGTGATCATTTTGGCAAAATGTGTAAACAGGTATAAATGTCACAGTAATACTCTAAATGACATTATTCTGACCGCTGTCTTACGGTGCATGATCACCGTAAGTGACATAGCTGATTCCCCCTTTTGGCTCTCGCAAATATTGGTATGCAATTATTTATTTAGGTATCATTTTTCTTTATATTCTTTCTACATTTCAGAAATAATCTTCAGCTGTGTAAGCTCTGTGCTCGTCTGTATTTATTTCTATGCCTTGTCCCTTGCTGCACTTTTGTCAGTGTAATGGACCACCAACTTGCCCAAAGATTTGCCGTCTTAAAATTACACTTTCGCTGCAAGGGCGAATCAATAAATCAATAAATGTGACAACAAGTCGGTATGTTTATTTAAATCACTATTTCTACAGTTACATCCTCCATACTTTTTTTGGCTCATTTGCCTTTTTTCTTTATCTTATATTTAACGAAGAAATGCGAGCCCTTGAATTACTTTTGAAGACATTGTGATGTCATATGAAGGTCAGCAGGTAATACCTTTAGCGTCCTACCTCAAATAATTCAACGGTATGCCGGCTTGCTTAAGTGGCCTTTATGCCGTCCACCCATTGAACGCTAACTGAGCATGTAGAAAGATGTATGCCACCCGCTAAATCCTCTCAAGATAAGGTGCGCACAATCTTGCCCAGCAATTCAAAGTGCGGAGTTTATACCAATGTTACTCACTACTCATCCGCCTGTCCATCTCACACGTACACCAGCCTTGCTATATAAAAGATGGCCTGCGCGTTTCCACTTGAGCCACGAGAGCTTTTGCTGTGCTCTTTCACTTGTACACACAACCTACGACGCATCGGGACACATCAATTCGTGTCGCACACAGAACGTCAAAGTGGTGTCAACGCCGATGGCAAGAATATTGATTGATATGTGAGATTTAACGTTCCAATACCACAATATGATTACGAGAGACGCCGTAGTGGAGGGCTCAGGAAATTTTGACCACCTGGGGTTCTTTAACGTGCACCCAGAGGGCAAAAATATGAAGGAAGCGTTCATATAAATGCTATTGCACTGAGACGTTAAAACAGTAACTGCAGTCAACACCCCAGAGAGCCATATGGAGTTTCAAAATTACTTTATGTGTAACCGGTATGCCATGGGACATATGAAGAGCTTGGTAAGCCATAAACGCAGCAAAAAAGTAACAATAGAACTGTTTCGCCTGCAGACGTTTGTACTAGTAAAAGAAGGCCTAATACAACTAACTATTGATACATATTTTTCTTTCACCGGATATTGGAGCAGGCAGTTCTTTCATTAGATTCTACAGTTGTTTGCTTTATTTAAGAGCTTACGTAATTAGTATTCAAAGCATTTCATTCCATAATTTATACTACTATGTGGTTGTTTATGGTTATTAGCACAAAAGCTGCGGTCTTTGAGTGTTCAATGACATGTCAACTCAAAATTTGTCCTTCTTTAATTCGCATGAACATAGAAAGTAGAGCCTCACTGTGTTAAGATTTGGTGGAACTAGCCTGTACTTAATTGTATACGCAGATGTAGTTTGATATGAATATGATTTGCAAAAACTTACTACAATTACGCGTCTAAAGTGCATCGATTCATGTACACATGCATAAGGCACTAAATCCATGGCGACTAATTCAAGAAAGAACTTCTAAGCTAACTCTGGGGAATTGAAAAACACAGAAGTGAGCCCAGTTTGGTACTGGAAAACTGGAGGGGCTAAAAAAGTTAAATAACACAGACGTATTCCTACTTTTTCGATGAAAACTCGGACGAAGATGCCTTTCTGTGATGTAGACCCACGGAAGGGAGCTGTTTGTGGCCTACTTGTTCGACAGATTTGTTGGCACCGGCCATGATGTCAGTGGTGGACATTCCGCACTCGACTTCATAGGGGTCGATGTTCTTTAGCTTGTTTAGTCTGGCTTCTTCGGCGTACACTTCAATAGTCTTCTGGTTTATAAGCTGCAAAACACGTGCATCATATAGAGAACGACTGACCAACATGCTAATCCAAAGTCTATGAACCGTACACGAAAGTGATCGACTACAGCAGCATATGCAACCGGGCTAGGTGGTATGGATCCACGATGTAAAAGAGTGGACACGATGTAAAAGAGTGGGCACCGGGACCAGCCGATGAGGCTCAAGATATATAAGCAGCAATTATCGGAAAAAAAAGGCAAAAAGAAAGCCGTCAGTCACTCTTTTGATAAAAGTTTTTTTTTCGTGGCGCACATGTTGACGCGCCCATTTCTTGTGTGTTGTTGATCGGTTTGTCATTGTCATGAATGAATGGTAGAAAGTTACGGGATTATTAATATTTGCGTACGTACATGTGTCTTAGTAGTGAAATTAATGGAATATAGTTAGATGTCGGTGCTTGTTGTCGTTCGTCAATCCTTATTTTGTTCGTTGTGTTCGCTACGTAATGCACGGTGAAGTGACTGCAGAGTTTTGGAAGTATACACTTCCGATCACTTCTGTGGCTGCCCAGTGTTACAAATTTCCAGTTCCGACGACTTCAGAGTAGAGCGCATAAACAATCGTCTTTGTTTCGTGAGGCGACGGTTCGGTTATTGCAAGGTATGACGTACGGTGCACCCAAGAGCACGGCCTTACAGATGTGCAGGCCTGACTTGCTCGAGTTTCAGCGCCTAAAAGTGCTTTTGTTGAACGAATTTGTTCTGAGCCTTAAAGTGCTTGCAGCATCTCGATGACAAAGACGAAGGCGTTTGGAGTGATAGGCGGTGCCCGGCACTGTCAACACTCGCCCTCTATAGGTGCCCTGAAATACGTCCCTTGAACAAGTGATAACTTTGTCTAATGCACACAACCGGCCAAACAAGGGCGCTTGCTACCATCAAGTATGGTATAAATCAACATGCGCGGATATGCACGTCTCTCCGACAGGCTGTGCACGCTCATGGGTGCACCAGGTGACACCTAGGAATCACTGTGAGGTGTCGCTGAGCAGAGTGAAGCCGGCTGTTCGCACGCTCAACGGCAACGTGGAAGGGTTCGCACTTGCGATTAGAGCCGCTGGAGCATGTGATCACACTGGACGTAGTTGCAATCCAAGTCTCTAGACTTAAGAGACAGATGAATTGACCGGGGTGGCTTAGCGTTCTCCACCGCAATGCCCTGGTTGTGTCACGGCGATCGGCTATGTACACGAAGACTGCCGGTTATATGCCGGAGCGCGGCAGTCGTATATCGATGGAGGTGAAATGCGAGGGGCTCGTCTGCTGTGCGATGTTATAGCACGTGAAGACCATCAGATGGTCGAACTTTCTGGTGCACTATATTAAGGCGCACCTCATATACATAGTAGTATTTTGGGGCATACAATCTTAGATATCTTCAAGGCTACAGTGTTGGATGTCTCATCAAATGAAAAGTGACCGTAGATGTCTCATCAAATGAAAAGTGACCGTCTGTGGCATAGGCGTGAATACGAGTGATGCGGAAAATCGTAAGGCAACGTAACCATCGCCATGTAGTGACGTCACCAGACGTCGTCGTCATCATTTCGCAAGCAACCACAGAGGTCACGTCATCACTTAGCGCGCTTAACGCGACGTCTCAAGATTATATCGTCACTATATCCGTCTGTGAGCACTGGAAAACTACTAGCGCTGCAGAGACGTCGTAATTTCAGAAGAGCGATGAAGCCAGGAGAAATTTCACTGGCGAAACTGAAACGTGAATTTAAGTGCTAATGACATGCTATTGGTTGACGCCGACCATCGCTACGTGAACCATCAATCGACTTCCATTTGTGGGTGTGCATACTATGCTTTCGATTATAGCACGCAAGATGAAGGTACGTCAACGAATGCCGAATAGTCACTACTGACGTCATTGTGACGAACGGTTATTTATGTGCTGGCTAGTGTCGCTCATGTGGGCATCAGTTTCTGTTTCCACAATGAACATAGTAGAACAGCAATACTGTAACACTATTACCAAATAGCCCTTTGCAGCAATCTGAAAGCGGTATGAGCTGCTCGTAGGAGGGTCTCAAATTCTTCCACTGGACTCAACTGCAAGTCTTCAGTAATTAAAAAATATTAACTTCGTTTCTTCAAATACTGCCGCAATTGAAGAAGTAATTATGAAGGCAGCGAACAGGTATTCCACTTCCCCTGTTATGAGAAATTTTCGGACACATTTCTTAACGCAGGTTAAGACAAGAGCAATTTTGTTGGAGAGTTCACTGTAGCACAACGTCAATTGTTTTAACGACGATAGCTTTTTTGTGATGTGTGTTTAGAGAAAATGGATAACGATTCGGGGTACTAGGTACTCTACAATGGGAGAGCAAAAAGCCGTAACGTGGGCCTCACAGTTGATGACGTACTGTTTTACGAAAATTACACCGTGAAAATAGACGGGCACGGCGAGGAACGCTGGAGCCCATCTCAAACGCGAAAATTCGGTGTGCAGTCTGTCCGTGGGTGTTGGTTCAACAATTGAGCCACCCAAGCCCATGTACGCCCAAGCCCATGAACACTGCCCAAGCCCATGTACGCCCAAGCCCATGTACGCCCAAGCCCATGTAAGCCCAAGCCCATGTAATCCCAAGCCCATGAACACCGTAGTCTACATAACTACTTTTGGTTATCGCATTGTATATACTGTGGCTATATAGACTTGTTAGATTTTTTGCCCTGTCACTACTGCTGTACGGGTGACCAGAGCTTAGTCAAGCTGCGCAAGCGCAGCTTTTTTCTCTGGTCCCCTATTTTTGCAGTGACAATGTGCTGTATTGTCTGAAGCGAAAATAAAATTTTATTTGATTGATTGATTGATTGATTGATGTTTTAAACCAACCTAATTCGATGAGGTGGCTGCGTTTCATATTTGTGAACGTTGTCAATCAAAAAGCAAATATTACGAATAATTGAGGCGCCACACCAATACATAAGTGTGAGACAGTGTCTTTTTACTTAGAAAATGCATAGATACGTAATTTTAACGACCGAAGTGTTTTTTTTTTTACGTTGCGCTTACAATACGACGCTATGAAGGAAAAAGTGGGTGTATCCTGCACCACGATGAAAAAGTGAGGGCCTTTAATTTAAACAACCCAGTGCTACCACCTAAGAGTGGATGTGATATCTAAAGAAACTTTCGCTTCTTCACATTAATTCTAGATGGTGCCATATATTGATTGATTGATTGATTGATATGTGGGGCTTATCGTCCCTAAAGAAACATATGATTATGAATAAACTAAACTCCAACTCAAAGACGCCCTAGTAGAGGGCTCCGAAAATTTTGACCACCTGGGGTTCTTCAACGTGCACCCAAATGTGAGCACACAGGCCTACATTGCCGCCTCCATCGGAAATGCGCCAGGATTCAATCCCGCGACCTGCGGAACAGCAACCTAGTACCTTAGCCCTTAGATCACCACGACTACTATTCACCGATCACCGCGACGACTACTATTGCTGTATTTTTTGTAATTACCCCATCCATGTAGCCATAGGAGGTCCCCCTGTCAGTTTCTCTGAAACTTTGGGACCTCCTGCTGTAATAACGCTAACCATGTAACTAAACTGAACTATATAATAAACTTGACTTGACCTGACCTGACCTGACGTGGCAGCGCCATATATTACGCAGCGCGTCCATACAGAAGACTATCGCGTTTCGACGTCCTTTGTAGCAAAGCAGGAGGATAACGCGGCCAACTTGTCAGGAGCGAGAACTCACGTGCAAGAACTTCTCCCATGCCTTTATGGTTGCCCTAGTCGCGCGTTCGTCCTCGTCGGCTGACAGCACGTCAACGAGGACGCGACCCATCTCCACGTAGTGCTTGGGTTTCATGCCGCTCCCGATGGGGTGGAACTCCATGTTCTTCGTAATGATTTCCAGCAGGATTCCGGGAGTCTCCAGGGCATCCACCATGGCAGTAATCTGGCGGCCCGCGGTCGACGCGTGATCCCTGCGACATTGCACGATACGTTCCTGCTCGGCCTTCATCGGCTGTCGAACGGTGGGTACTACGTAGCCTACTTGGTCTCATCATCAAGGGCAACAAAACAATAAAACAAAGCCAGTTCTTCAGGTGAAAGCTGTACGAACCACAGAGCAGCCTGTCCCTCCCTGTGTCCCACCTGCTTGTGTTTGTGTTGCATGTATCAGATTTGGGCGCACGTTAAAGAACCCCAGGTGGTCGAAATTTCCAGAGCCCTCCACTACGGCGTCTCTCATATTCATAAGGGGGTTTGGGGACGTTAAACTCTACATATCAATCATCTGTTGCATGTATATTTTTATATTTTTGCTTTTGTGGGCTTTTTGTACGTTTATCAGCTGTTCTTCGCTCTTTTTCACTCTTTTCTCTCTGATTAAGTGATGTTTCACAGAACTATCTGGTCTTTCCTCGTGGCTTGCCGATTTGTTTTGCGACTATCTAATATCTGTTTCGTGGTTCCTTGTTTACATCATTTTCATTCTTCGCCACGAGCTAGGTGTGTCTTACTCCCAACGCCACCGGTTCGCTGTCGCTTCACTGCTCGGACAAACTGATTAAGGCCTCACCACACGTACGCGTCAGAGCGCATCGGCGCGTGGCTGGTATAATTTTCGCCACGCCCTCTTTCCATGGATAGAGAGAAGGGCACACTATACGCGAAGCTGCGCGCCCTCTCTCCGTTTAGGGAAAGGGAGCGGCGTCCATTGTCCAAGCCACACACTGGCGTGCGGCGACGCGTGTGTGTGGTGAAGTCTTCAACGACGCTGGAGTTCACGGGAAACCACGCGCCGGAGTCAAACGGTCAACCCGCTCGTTTATGCGCACGAAACGTGGGACTTGTGCAACGCCAATGCGATACGCAAAGGGCCTGGCCACACGTCCACGTCGCAGCGTGTTGGCACATTGCTTTCTGACGCGACGCCACGCCCCTCTCTTTATGGGGAGAGAGGGTGTGCATCGTCGCATAGCCACGTGCAATCGAATGGCGGATTCGGGACGGGACGCAAAACGCCACATAAAACAACAACAACAACAACAACAACAACAGTGATAATATTAACAATATTAGTAATATTTACTATCACTGGGGATGGATATCTGATAGAAGGGAAAAACTTTCACAGATACAAGCATGTCAGTAGAGAAGAAATGCTACATTTGTGCACAACAGATTCGCAATAAAAAAGCTCTGCGACGAGAACGCAGCGAAAAAAAACTCCACAAGTTTCGCGAAAAAATACTGTTAAGTTGGGGGTTATTTTCTTTAACGGTAGCGAAATGATTCATGTTACGTCAAGTGCAACAATTTCTCGACCATGCGAGTGAAGTACGCTGCACTCACGTGAATACCGGATCCCTCATGAACGTGCCGAGCTCCTTGTCCCTGAACTTCTTGAACAGCTTCTGGTACTCGGGATGCTTGACGAAGAGCGCCGTGAACAGGATGACGCCGTAGTCCGGGTGCCTTTTGGTGAAGTTCTGCCACGACTCGTGGAGGAGTCGCCTTTCCTTCTCCGTGAAACCCGTCGTATTGTCCTCGGCGTCATGGTGCAACGCGTTCCCCATGTGCGCTCATCCGATGCCAAAATTGGAACCTGGAACCACGTAAGGCTGCTTTGCGCTGAATCTTGTTCTTGTTCCACGTCGATGCCTCGTACCCGCTACGGGGCTCTGAAAAAAAAAAGGAAGCAAAGAATCAGGCATGTGCTTCTTGTAATTCAGTAATGCTTAGTATCTATCCACCTTGTCACTCAAGGCTCCCTGGGCGCCGTCATAGTCCTCTCTGGGCTATAGTTAGTGCGTGTGTCCCCCCCAAAAATTCACTGCCTGGTTGTGACGTCGGCTTTTCTACTCTCGTGAAACAGCCCAGGAAGGAAGACACTCTTCGTATAAAAAGGCCATATCCTGCAAGGCTTTTCTTTCAAAAAAAAAAAAGCAAAATTTATAAGCATGGTGAGGCGTATTCACGTGCTGACCTGGACCCTCTGTTATACCTTGGCTTCCTGACCTATTTGTTGTATTGAGGAAGAAGATGGCCTCAATGACAGGGAGAAGCCCACTAGGGGGTGTTGGCTGAAATGAATAATAATAATAATAATATAATAATAATAATAATAATAATAATAATAATAATAATAATAATAATAATAATAATAATAATAATAATAATAATAATAATAATAATAATAATAATAATAATAATAATAATAATAATCTTTATTGTCATCTTGAGTTGTACAAAACAAATAACGGGCCTGTCAAAGCCACACGGTGGCTTGGAGGACTTGGCCCGGATGACATATATATTGAAAAGCTTTTCATGTAAGCAATCAGAGAAAGAATACATGTAACTCATTTACGCTACATATAAACACAATAACGATCGAGAATCAAATTAGCGGAAGCAATACCACCTAAACAGCAGAAATGTCAAGACAAGCATTGAAATATTTTAAACAGATTATACCCAGTATGCAAGAAACTAGAAAAAAATAATAATGCGATAACTAATGCAGCAATAAAGAGACATTAATAATAATAATAATAATAATAATAATAATAATAATAATAATAATAATAATAACATGGACAGGTCTCTATCATATCAAAGCGGAGCCACCACGGCCGGACCTCGACCCTGTGATCTTCGAGTCAGCAAACAAGTGCTATGATAAAAAAGACCGCTGCGGCAGGTGATTATGCGAAAATTGAAAATTACGCAATCTTTCGCTAAAGGAAACGATGTGTAGATGCGAAGCAGTGGGCGGCCACGATGACGCTGGCACTCATTGCAGCGTTGCGCAAAAGAAAAACTTGCGGAGGCGCAATGCCCACAGTGATGAACCGGCGTTTCCTATGGAGACACACCAATCGCTGCTAATGGGCAGTGAGGAAAACGAATGCTCCAATCGGACACAGAGACCCGCAGTCCACTTTTAGTTAACGCGCACACTGCGAACTTTTATTGCTCTAAAACGCGCAGCAGAAATCTCACACCGGCACTACGTTGGAGGTGAAGATCAAGTGCCTATGTATACGGGGTGGCCAGTGAACGGTTGGGCCATAGCCTCCTGGATTTCCCTTGCCTGCCGGATGAGCGCAAAACGCCCGTCATATATGGCGGCGCTACCTACGTAGGAGTAAGGGTTTTGTACTTGGCCTTTGAGATCGGCAATTTTGGCGTTTGCTACTAATTTCAAAGGCCACGCCTTGTATCGAAGGAGTTGCCTGCTGAATGAGCCCAAGACGCCTGTCATCTATAACGGCGTCACTTATGTAGGGTTAATTTTAATTACGTTTACCCCTTTTTAAAACTTTTTAAAGTTATTTTGTTGCATATAAGCTCCAAAAACATAAAGACTTATTTGAAGACACCCCTACTTAGGTGGCGCCACCAACACGGTCCTGACGACGGCCGCTTTGCATGTGACCGCTGATAATCCGGCAGGTAAGGGAAACCTAGGAGGCTATGGTTGTGCAGCGCGAGAAGTCGGTTTTTTCAATCAAGAAACTCGTCAGCAGACGCTGCCTGCGTCGGCGTTGTGAAGTGAGAAAGGGAGGAGCAAAAAAAAGGATAGAGAGCTGTTGCTTCTTTAAAGTTCACTACATATTGTCACCGGGTCGTGACGTGGACGAAAGGAGAAGACTGCAGGTCGAATAAACTGTTTATTTGGGCCGAACTGGCGGCCACGTAAAAAAAAATGGCAGCATATCCACGGAGTGAATGATGGAGAGTGGGGTGAAGAATTCGTCCGTCCATTCGTTCTTGCTTCCGTCCGTTCATGCGTCTGTCAGCCCGTCCGTGCGCGCGTCTTTTCGTGCGTCCGTCCTTGCGTTCGTCCATGCAGCCGCCCCTACGTCCGTTTATGCGTCCATCCATGCATCTGTCTATGTGTCCGTTCGTCCATCTATTCAACACTCCAAGTACCACCATCTCGCATCTGTTCATCATATATTCCCCATATAGAAGCACCGCCATCCAGCGGACATTTCAAGGACTAAACGAGAGGTGGCACACGCACATTTTCTTACGGCTTGCGCTTCGGGTCCACCTCTTACCTTTAACCACCTCGAGTTCATGGTATATACTAGTTCACTTTATTCATGGCACTGCGGCCGAACGCTCACTAAACCTTTCGAAAACCAAGGAGGTTACGCCCAGCGAGTATGACGTAGCAAACTTTTTCAGTCAGATAGTGCTCAATGTAGAAGCCAATGGCTGCTAATGGGAAATGAGAGGCGGAGAATTCGGCTTTTACTTTCTTACGGCTTGCGCTTCGTATCTACTTCCCATTTTTAACCACTTCGAGTTCATTCATGGTATATACAAGTTCATTGTATTCATGGCACTGCGGCTCGACGCTCACTAAGCCTTTCTAAAGCTAAGGAGGTTACACCCAGCGAGTATAACGTAGCAACCCTTTCTTGTCAGATAGTGCTCAATGTACATGCCAATGGCTGCTAATGGTGATCGCAGCCTGCGCGTTAACTAAAAGCCGAATGCTCCTGTCTCTCATTCCCCATTAGCAGCCATTGACATGTACATTGAGCACTGTTTTTTTAGGGGCGGAGCTCCTTAGGGCGTGGGCTGTGCGTCCCCTGTAGCCTGTATGTAGCCCCCTCTAGTTTAGTTCTTGCAGTGTTCACTAGATGGCGGTACCGTCCCCTGTATGTAGCCACCTCTAGTTTAGTTCTTGCAGTGTTCACTAGATGGCGGTACCGTCTCCTGTATGTAGCCACCTGTCGTATAGTTCTTGTAGTGCTTACTAGATGGTGGTACTTGTAGCTGATGATGAAAAGATGCAAGATGTTATAAACTAGAAAGCGGTACTTGTAGTTGATCAAAGACGCGAGATCTTATAAAATAGGAATGATGTCACATATGGCGCGTGTCATTGGTTGAAGACAATCGTTCGATTTAGTGCGGCGACGTACGCTAGGGGGAGCGATGTAATAAAATCGAGTGGGCAAAATGTACAGAGGATTCATGGTTTACCAGGTTTACCTCCGGAGCTTCGCCCACTCATCATCATTCACTTCGTGGATATGGCGGAATTCTTATTGTTCAACAGCGCACAGGAGTCTCTCACCGGCACCACCTTGGAGGTCAAAATGTTATACTTGTTACATACTACGGGGGATGAACGGGTACCGCTATAAGGAGCTTCGCCCCTAAAAAAAAGTTCAATTACAGCAAGACACTGGCACAGATAGCGGCGAGCAGAGTGTCGGCCGTCGATCAACTGACAAGCGGTGAAGCGGGTCGGCATTTATACACTTGTCATCGAATATTATAGCGTTATCGCTAGCGGTGACGTAGGTTCCAGAAAAATCTGTAGGGATCACGAAGTGGGCGTAATCCTAACAAAACAATCTACTGCAGTCCTGAGGCTTCTCGAACACTGTAGGCGTGGTATGCGCTGAGAATAACTGACAGCAAAATGGGGCGATAACAAAGCTTGAGGAGGGAATGTGGCAATATCAAGCTTTACGGGGGCGAACGTCCTTGTATCTAACCTCCATAGAAATGTGGCCAGAATGGCTGCTTTGTCGCATCTGCGTTCCCAAACTATGGCAACAATCACAAAATAGCGCGCTTTCTTCTCCCTAAGATAACAGGGCACCTTTGTTTCTACGCCGCCTCTGCGTTTGGTGTAATGCGTGATATCTCTTGTGGACTGCAGCTGTAAGCTTTTTTCTCGCGTGTGCGAAAAATGACGAAGTCTGCAGCTTAGCGATCAACACCCAGTATAAATAGCACATTTCGCAAACTTTCACGTCAGCAAAGAGCTACAAATATTATGTCGCATATGGTATGCCGGAATGTTTGAATGCTGAGAAGGTAGCATATTTACAATAAGGGTTGCGATTGGTATAGCACTGTTCTTGTGCAAAGCCATTCGCTGGCTCACCTGTCTTGTTTCCCTGCTCTTTACGGAGAGTCTTCACCTGCAATTTGGAAAGTAATATAATTGCTCGTGTTACGTTTGTATACCGAATCGCAGCTTGCTCCAACGCACAAGGGATTCTTGCTGCCATACACATTCTTCAGTGATGGCTGGGCCGAGAAGCGAGTCGGTTCCTAAAATTTAGGTCGTTTCACGTCCGAAAAACGATGATTGGGGCGTTCTGTTCAATTTAGACGCATTGGAAACACCGCCGTAATAACACAAGTCCATGGCACTATGCTGGTACAATGGTTACGGCTCTATGCCGCTCACCCTATGACTGCGGGTTTGATTGCGGCCACGCGGACAGCCTTTTGGTAGAGGCGAAATGTTCGCACTTTACCACAATGTTCTTTGAACATACCGTGCCATAGTTTTTGGCACGTGATATCCCGGATGTTATTATAAGAAATCTACATTCGTAAAATTGACCGTCACAAAGTAGTCGCTGTCTTTGCACATAGAACACAGTTCTTTTGCGACGTTCACAATACGGCCATCAACGGCAGCGATGCACCCTGGTCAGCGTCTGGGATGCGTTCGCCCAGAAGTGTAGTTTGACTGTTGGCCACGAATCAATGAAACACTACCAGGTGACCGCTGATGTAGAACGAAAGG